GAGTGCCCTCTCAGCTGCTCTGAAGTGATGTGTGCAGCATGAAGAACTCTCCCCTTGCCCTCCTAGTTTAGAGGGGAACATTCCACCATCAATAAACCCCAAAACTGTTTCTTGACCTGAAAGATGTTGCGGTCACCTCCAGTCTAACTGAGAAAACACCAGATACCCAGTTTAAAATATTTCTTGCAGTAGACCCAACTAATTATTTTTCCATCAGCAAGGATCAAGTGGAATTGAGTTCCCTCAACTCCATTAATTTTTCAAAGATAACTTGATGTATCTACCTGTAACACTGACCTAACTGAAAAGACTTTCAAACAGACTGTTTATTAAAGCAGGATATTGACAGAGCTAAACCACAGTGCACAACACAGTACAGAAAGTATAGCTGGCATTGTGCATAGCTGTCACAGGCTGTGAGCACACAACCCTCCTGGGTATTCTGGTTGTGGTTAGGCAGAAGATTAAATGCTCCAGAGATCACTTCCAGATCGCAGTGTACACCATCACCATATTAGAAATCAATCTGTAAACAATTACAGCCAAATGCAGCACAGGAGGACAGAATCCCAAATGTGGAACTGGGGAGCTACTGGAGCTACTTGAGATACCACAATATAAAGCACAGGAACAGAGAATCTTTAAATTTATCAGCCCTTGCAGCACTTAGGAAGTACTTCTTCCCTCTCAGCTGTGCTTCCCCCAGGACTTGCAATTCACATCTGTACGACTTTGGAAGGAGATCCAAATCTGTTTGTCTCATTCCTCTAGCATAAAACCTGCTTGGTGGCCAAGTTACTCGTTAGAATGAAACTCAACTACATGGGTTCAAACTGAAGGAGGGGAAGGCTGGATATGAGAAAGCAGCTTTTTACTCTAAGGGTGGTGAGACACTGGCACAGGTTGCCCAGGGACGTGGTGGCTGCCCTGCCCCTGGTGGTGTTCAGTCCAGGCTGGATGAGCCTTGAGCAACCTGATCTAGTGAGGAGGTGTCCCTGCCCAGGGCAGGGGTTGGGGCTGGATGATCTGTAAGGTCCATTCCAACCCCTAAATTCTATGATTCTACGTATCTTTTTAATCAGTGAACTACATGAAACAGCCCTTAACACCCAGCTGAGATGCTCAAGTCTTAACTGCTCTTCTATTGAGTAACATCCTCAACACCAGACAGTTCTTTTTGCCTTCCCTAC